TTGGAGAAATAATCCAGTCAGGATTTAAAAACAAAACACGAGAAGAAACAACACCCGACATATTTGCGCTAATCATCTCCAATTTTGAATTGCTAGCATAGAGTGAAGGTATATGACGGTTACTCTTACAACGCGCCCTCAGCCCACAGCGGAAAGGAGAGTATAATTAGATTAGTTAGCCTTGATACAATATCAAATACCTAAATAAAGAGAGGTTAATGTTTCTTCAATAGATCCATTACGTGGGACATATATAATTAGATTAGTTAGCCTTGATACAATATCAAATACCTAAATAAAGAGAGGTTAATGTTTCTTCAATAGATCCATTACGTGGGACATATATAATTAGATTAGTTAGCCTTGATATAATATCAAATACTTAAATAAAAAGAGGTTAATGTTTCTTCAACAGATCCATTACGTGGGACATAGAATTAGATCAGTTAGCCTTGATGTAATGTCAGACAGTTAAATAAAGAGGCAGTTGATGGTATATCTTTCTTCATGACATCCATTACAGAGATATAGGGTTAGATAAGTTGGCCTTTATGTAATTCCTACTAGCCAAATAAAGAGAAGATCATGTGCTTTTTTATTGTTTTTTTTTTTTGCTCTAGGAGTGCTTGTAGAGTATTAGTTATATGCAGTGGTTGTAGAGTATTAGTTACTTGTAATTGTTGTAGAGTATTAGTTATATGTAGTGGTTGTAGAGTATTAGATATTTGTAATTGTTGTAGAGTATTAATTACTTGTAACTGTTGTAGAGTATTAGTTATTTGTAACTGTTGTAGAGTATTAGTTATATGTAGTGGTTGTAGAGTATTGGTTACTTGTAGTGGTTGTAGAGTATTAGTTATTTGTAACTGTTGTAGAGTATTGGTTATTTGTAGTGGTTGTAGAGTATTGGTTATTTGTAGTGGTTGTAGAGTATTAGTTATTTGTAGTGGTTGTAGAGTATTGGTTATTTGTAACTGTTGTAGAGTATTAGTTATATGCAGTGGTTGTAGAGTATTAGTTACTTGTAGTGGTTGTAGAGTATTAGTTATATGTAGTGGTTGTAGAGTATTAGATATTTGTAACTGTTGTAGAGTATTGGTTATTTGTAGTGGTTGTAGAGTATTGGTTATTTGTAACTGTTGTAGAGTATTAGTTATATGTAGTGGTTGTAGAGTATTAGATATTTGTAACTGTTGTAGAGTATTGGTTATTTGTAGTGGTTGTAGAGTATTGGTTATTTGTAACTGTTGTAGAGTATTAGTTACTTGTAATTGTTGTAGAGTATTAGTTATATGTAGTGGTTGTAGAGTATTAGATATTTGTAGTCGTTGTAGAGTATTAGTTATATGCAGTGGTTGTAGAGTATTAGTTACTTGTAGTGGTTGTAGAGTATTAGTTATATGTAGTGGTTGTAGAGTATTAGATATTTGTAGTGGTTGTAGAGTATTAGTTATTTGTAACTGTTGTAGAGTATTAGTTATTTGTAACTGTTGTAGAGTATTAGTTACTTGTAGTGGTTGTAGAGTATTAGATATTTGTAATTGTTGTAGAGTATTAATTACTTGTAACTGTTGTAGAGTATTGGTTATTTGTAGTGGTTGTAGAGTATTAGTTACTTGTAGTGGTTGTAGAGTATTGGTTATTTGTAGTGGTTGTAGAGTATTAGTTACTTGTAGTGGTTGTAGAGTATTAGTTATTTGTAGTGGTTGTAGAGTATTAGTTACTTGTAGTGGTTGTAGAGTATTAGATATTTGTAGTGGTTGTAGAGTATTGGTTATTTGTAGTGGTTGTAGAGTATTGGTTATTTGTAGTGGTTGTAGAGTATTGGTTATATGTAGTGGTTGTAGAGTATTGGTTATATATAGTGGTTGTAGATTATTAGTTATTTGTAACTGTTGAAGAGTATTAGTTACTTGTAATTGTTGTAGAGTATTTCACTGTATAGTAACAATTACTGATGTAGTGATTGTAATGTCTGAACATCCCTAAATATCTGATAAGTTCAACTAATCAGAGATAAACAATAAATGTTCCTCTGAACTAGGCCGCTGGTGATACTGAAATAATCTAGTTAAACTGACCATTAAGCTTCGTAATTTCCCC